AATAATGTGATTTAAAGAACCTACAAATGTTCAGTTAGATTGGTTTTCGAACTTTATTGCTTCAGTGAGACCTTCTAGACACGTTATTATTTGTCTGATCATTCTTAATAAAGTCTGCTCAGCCTTCACCACTGAAAGGACAAGGTGATCATTCTCTCTGCAGAGGCCCAAATCTACAGATTTAGAATGGCTTCTTTAATTATTTACCCTGGTTTCTTCCAGGAAGAAATGCTATCTGACCACATGCTGGGTCGATGGAGATCAAAAGACCATGTTTGGTCCTAAACATAATCCTATCCTGAAGTGGCGTTAGCAAAACTATTTTAGTACCAAGCCCTGTAGTTGAATGGAGATCTGTTTAAAGAGGTCGGGATTAGAAATGAGTCCTTTTGAATGTTGGATACAATTAATTATTTGCTGCTGTGAGAGAGTCAAAATCTTAAAACTTATTTCACCATTAAGATTCATCACAGTTTTTGCAAAGTCATTTGCAGAAATCAGTTTGTTAACTATTGGATGAAATATATGAAGATGTAAGTTATCATTTGTGCAGTGTGACTCTGTGATGTTGGTGTGTGTGTGTCTCTGTTGTGGCACCACAGAGACACCTGTTCCAGTCTGCCATTCAGCAGTGATGGGGATGGTGCAGGGCTTTGACATCCCCGTTGACATGACAGCTCAGACAGCATGGATGTTAATCTATCCTAACTGCTCTCAGTCTAATTAAATCTTCCAGGGCAGCACACATGTGCAGACACATGCACATGCATACACATGTGGAGGCTTAAATTGGTCCTAGTTGTGTGTAAGTTTTAACGATCTGGAGAATTGGCCCCACCACAGTTTGTTTGATTGTAATTCTATGAAATTCTGTGTGCATGAGAGAGAAATAGAGGCAGAGAGAGAATCAGATTTAAGTTCACTGCTTTCAAATGCAGAGTTTGACTTCTGTTGTTAAACTAGGAGTTCACAATGTTTGGAGTTGCACTGCTAAATCCCATGCAGAACATCAGCAACAACGACACCTGATTTCTCTGCAGTTGCCTAAAAATGTATTTTGGTGTACATTTAATCTGAGTTAAAAACAAAACAAGCTAAAACTAAGACAAAACTCAGCATACATGAAGCATTTCTTGGTGGAAATTTGAAGATGTTTCTTTCAAACAAAGCCTCAATAATTTGATTTTTCTGCTTCCGCTTATGATAAGAGGTCTTGGTGGTAAATGGGAATTTAAGCACAATTTTATGCAGATATGAATTCCAGAATTTCACCTGTCTTCTTGATTTGCTTAAACATGGTCTCGGCCACATCACTTGAAACACCATAGTAAAGTGTGTTTTGAGTCATGGCATTGAACTTCCCCCTAACAGAAATGGAATGCGGTGACAACAGGCCACAGGCTAGATAGAGCACATGCACCCCTGGAATTTAGACACATAACACTGATTATCCCAAATGACCCAGTGAAGTGAGTGAAGCCCTGCTCCTATACTCCTCTTTTTCTGTTATGTTACTGTCTAAGTGAGGGGTTCTTTAAAGTATATGAAAAAAGTGTGTGCATACGTTTCATAAAGTAAAAGCGTATGTGAGTGTGTGTTTGAAATGCATTGTGTAGGCAGATGAATTAGATGGGGTATAATGTGTATACATACAGTGGGTACGGAAAGTATTCAGCCCCCCTTAAATTTTTCACTCTTGGTTATATTGCAGCCATATGCTAAAATCATTTAAGTTCATTTTTTCCTCATTAATGTACACACAGTACCCCATATTGACAGAAAAACACAGAATTTTTGACATTATTGCAGATTTATTAAAAAAGAAAAACTGAAATATCACATGGTCATAAGTATTCAGACCCTTTGCTCAGTATTTAGTAGAAGCACCCTTTTGAGCTAATACAGCCATGAGTCTTTTTGGGAATGATGCAACAAGTTCTTCCACACCTGCATTGGGGGATCCTCTGCCATTCCTCCTTGCAGATCCTCTCCAGTTCTGTCAGGTTGGATGGTAAACATTGGTGGACAGCCATTTTCAGGTCTCTCCAGAGATGCTCAATTGGGTTTAAGTCGGGGCTCTGGCTGGGCCATTCAAGAACAATCACGGAGTTGTTGTGAAGCCACTCCGTTATTTTAGCTGTGTGCTTAGGGTCATTGTCTTGTTGGAAGGTGAACCTTCGGCCCAGTCTGAGGTCCTGAGCACTCTGGAGAAGGTTTTCATCCAGGATATCCCTGTACTTGGCCGCATTCATCCTTCCCTCGATTGCAACCAGTCGTCCTGTCCCTGCAGCTGAAAAACCCCCCCATAGCATGATGCTGCTACCACCATGCTTCACTGTTGGGACTGTATTGGACAGGTGATGAGCAGTGCCTGGTTTTCTCCACACATACTGCTTAGAATTAAGGCCAAAAATTTCTATCTTGGTCTCATCAGACCAGAGAATCTTATTTCTCACCATCTTGGAGTCCTTCAGGTGTTTTTTAACAAACTCCATGCGGGCTTTCATGTGTCTTGCACTGAGGAGAGGCTTCCGTCGGCCAGATCTGTGCCTTGCCACAATTCTGTCTCTGAGCTCTTCAGGCAGTTCCTTTGACCTCATGACTCTCATTTGCTCTGACATGCACTGTGAGCTGTAGGGTCTTATATAGACAGGTGTGTGGCTTTCCTAATCACGTCCAATCAGTATAATCAAACACAGCTGGACTCAAATGAAGGTGTAGAACCATGTCAGGGATGATCAGAAGAAATGGACAGCACCTAAGTTAAATATATGAGTGTCACAGCAAAGGGGCTGAATACTTATGACCATGTGATATTTCAGTTTTTCTTTTTTAATAAATCTGCAATAATGTCAAAAATTCTGTTTTTCTGTCAATATGGGGTGCTGTGTGTACATTAATGAGGAAAAAATGAACTTAAATGATTTTAGCATATGGCTGCAATATAACAAAGAGGGAAAAATTTAAGGGGGGCTGAATACTTTCCGTACCCACTGTTTACATATATATATATAGGTCACACAGCAGATACTTTTCTAAAGTAACAATGCAACACTAAACTTCTATCATGAAGGTATTTACACAGCTTGTTGTTTGGGCCACCCACAAAAGAATAATGCTTGTAAGTAATGGTCCAGGGTTTTCCTACTTTGCTTTTAATCTTCTCAAAGTTCTAGTCCTGCAGGTTAAAGACTGACATTCAGATCTGATGTTTAGTCACAGACAAAGAGCTTCTCTTTTAATCTGTTTAGCTTCAGTGAAATCAGAGACCCACAGAGGTAGACTGAGAATAGGCAAGCAATGTTTCTTCCTCCCTACCTGACAGCTCACCTGTGTCCTCTACATCTGTCCACTCAGCTAGGGAGCTCAGTTTATTTTCCTTACCTACCCTCAGTAGCTTTCTCCCACCCGTTTTATCTCTGCTATACAATTGTCTTCCTGTCTCTTTGTGTCCATCTGTATGTTTCGACCACGAGACAGTATTTTTCTCTGCTTGACTGTCTTCCATTGTAATTCTGCCCATGGTTCAGCCTTCTATTCCTTCCCGTTGTCTATGTCTCTGTCATCTGTCCAGTCTCGGCTCCCTTTGAGTTAAACAGGCCGAACAAATAGATTACAAACAGTGGGCAGAGTGAAGCTAAGGAGGAAGACAATCTGAATTTGTTGGGGATAAAGAATGAGGGAGGAGGCTGTCCAGTTAAAGAAAGCCAGTGGAGTCAGAGTAAGGCTGTATTTGCCTCAGGGGAAAAGGCTGAAAAGTAGCTTTCGCAACAGATGTGCAGGGCAGTAAAGTGTAATTGAAATGCCAGCAGCAATGGTCTTATCTCCCTGCTACAGGAGCCTGCTGCCAGTCTCAACATCAGTTAGATGTCATTTTACCTAAGTCTGAATCAGCCTGCCACAATCCGCAATCCCCATTGCTCTGATGCTAGGCCGGAGAAAAAGGGAGAAATGGATGAGGGGGAGAGAGTTGAGAAAGAAGAGGATGGAGTCGAGGTTGCGGAGTCTGTAATAGGATTTCAGTAGCACCCAGTTAACTTCCACCACCTGGACTTAGTTGGTAATTTGATATGCTCTATCAATAGGATTCATTTCCTCACTGCAATATTACCATTGCCATTCATTTGACTTTAAAAAATATATATATTTATTCATTTCTCTCTCCACATTTTCCCACTTGTTCTGATGCTAGTCATGCATATGAGAAGTAGGAGGAAGGGAAGAGGAATCCAGAGGAGGTGGAAAGCAAGGCACTATAGCTGTCCTTGGTGCTCCAGGCAGAGCTTAATGTTTTGGGCCAGGCGGCATCCATCTAGGGAGGCCCGTAATGTCCTCCCAGATTAGAGGCTGGCACTCTTTGGAGCTGCTACTTTCCTCTTTTTACCAGGAACTTTGTTACTGCAACATGGGATCATCTGGGGCGCATTAACACTTCCTTATTTCCCCAGTGTAATGTTAATGTGTCACAAAATGGTGTGTTGTTTGTGTTATCCATGGTGGCAGTGGCAACTTTTACTTCTCTCTCAGTTTAAGAGTCTGTATTTTACAGCCACTCCCAAGTCACATGAGAAGCCATGTGACTTGGCAGACAATTTATGTTTTTTTACTCATTGATACAGTTCAGTGCATAAGGCTTTGTTATTTGTTTGTAGCTTTGTTATTGCCTTTTATTGCCTCAGTGTTACTCACCTAAATGCATTCTGTGTACTTGTGAATTTAATGCCTTTTCTTCCTCATAGAACATTTGCAAAGTGGAAGTTTTGAAAAAGCAAAAACTTGCATTGTTTATGCACATGTTTTCTAGCCTGTAGCTTTCTTCTTCACTGGCTTAACTGGTGCATCAATAAGAGAGAGAGTGTGAAACGGACATAGAAAGTTATCAATACAATGCAAACAAAATGCAGACACACTCATAACAACATTGCTCCATAGTGTTACTAGTGATCAAAAGTTTTAATGAGTTTTAATTGTTGGCTTCATTGTTTTTCATTGTCTTCCAGAGAGTTATTTTCAATGTGGTCAACTTCTCTAAGACCAAGAGCCTATACAGAGATGGCATGTCTCCTGTAGTTAAATCTACCAGCAGGCCAAAATGGTAAGTAGACGATAACAACATTAGCATGGATTCTATGAGCTTTACGTTGCATTGTATATGGTAATTTCATTTGCAAATTTTAGCCTATGAAGTGTAAAGTATTCAAAGACTTTCAGCACCTTTGAAAACTTTTATTTTCTGCCTATCTGTTGCACACATTCTCTCTCTCTCATACACTCACTCTAAAGACTGATACTTTAGTTTTCCAGAATGGCGTCTGGGTGCATTAGCATGTGATCCATTGGCTGCCGGTATGACGGCTGTCTGACGTAATAACACTTGACTGATGAATGCAGAGATGTGTGTGTGTGTGTGTGTGTGTGTGAGTGAATGAATAGGTGTGGCAGGAGGGAATGGGGCTGGTGCAGTGGGGCTGGGCACAGCGTCTGCCAAGCAGGCTGGTGTATTCAGTGGGGCGCAGAGGGAGAACAGGATAGCTTGATGAAGTGTTGCCATCCAAGAGGAGCCCTGACATCTGTCATCGGTTGATGGAGGGCATCCGCAGAAACGCCAGGCATCTGCCACACCGAGCTGTCTGCGTCTGGACGCCTACTGGCCATACCGTAGCATGCCGGTCACAGGCTAATGGGAACAGACACTAGGCATGACACCATAGACAGGGAAGATGAACTGCTGTCTATGATACAGCACAGTGCAACATGATGCAGCTCAGTTCAGCTGCCTCACTTTGATTCATGTGATGTAGTTTCAATCTTGCACTAAGAGTTGCTCTGTTGTGCTTGTGGAGATATGGCTTTTTCACAGTGCCACAGCGTCTAATGTTGTCTCATCTTGTCTCATCTTGCCAAACATTACTGGGTTTGTGATATTGACAAAAAATTATTGCTAGATATTTTCTGGGAATTTGTCAGTAAGTGTAAGCCAACGATATTGTGCATCCTTCAAGAATGCATTTGATAGAGTCTTATATTACCTTACTCTCATTAATAGCATATTAAGTATTTCTGCCATGTAATCATTGTCCTAGGTTATGAAAAATGCCACTTTCTGAATGGTCTTAACTTCTCATTTGACATAATCTTGAATGTCTGAGGTGTTAATCTGTACAGGAGCCTTGTTGGGTCATTAAGGTCCCAAAGCTTTTCTTAATACGCTAATCATGCAACACTGACCGTGTTTAATGTATGTTTCAATAAGCTCTCATAAATAGCTATTTAAGTAACAGACACAGCAGGAGGGAACGGTGCAGAGGCCAGATTTTATCTGCCTCCCCAGCCTAATACTGTTTTAAGCATTCCTCTCAGCACTGTGCCATCTCATGCACGTGTAGAGCCATTTTGAACTGTCTGGGGCTTCCAAGACCACAGCTGACATTGTCTGAGTCCCCACAAAGTTGGCAAGATGCTTTTAACACAGCCTCTTCTATTTGACTTTCCACGAGCACAACAAAGCACAGACAGCTCCTGAAGTAGCAATCTTCTCTTTGACAGTTACAGATATGGAATAAATAAAAAGGCAGAGCATGGAAAGCTTCGTCTGTCTGATCCAAACTCACACAGGACAGGATAAAGAAGGT